TATTATTGTGTAAAGATGTAATTGCTTATTTACATTAAAAGTATTATTAAAAATATATGCATTATAATACGATATAAGATTTTACTTATGCAATATATATATATATATATATATATAATATAATGATAAAAGGTAAACGGTTTTGTTTAATCAGAATGTTATATTTTCATGATAGAAAATCCTACTCCTCAATGTCTACAGATTTTTCGCTATTTATATTGTGATCGTAATCGTAATCGTAACGCAAAAATGTAATATCTGCGCTAATTCACGTACATGACAATACACACTTCTTATACAAAAAAAAAAACCTTATTTTACGAATACCTATACACACACACACACACAAATACTTAAATAATAAATATTTAATAAATAAAGTTTTTTAAATATAGAGAAAATATTTAAAATACTTATTATTCTTTTATTGTTTTAGTATAAATGTAAATTAGTAAAATTTTGTTTAATAAGTACAAAAGAATAAAAAGAATTCGTTAAAAGGATGAAGTTACTTGCGATCATTAATTAATTCCATTTATACTCTTATATATACAATGAAGAGAAAAAAAGAATATGGCTGTAATAACAATATAATGTACAAATATTTTAAACCAACATATAATAATGCGAATATTGAATAAACTACGTATTTTACTCTAAATTATTGTACTTAGTATGTAAGATTTTTTAATCTATAATTCTTTTGGCTATACACTATAATACAAGTACAAATTATCGTATAATCATATAGCAATTTTTATTACACCAGTTCACAACAACACGAAAAAATATAATTATTGACTCCGTACTACTTGTATTAAGGTTATTTATTAGGTATAAAAAGAAAAGCTAAATTTATCAAATTTAATCAGTACAATGTGATATAAAGGTTAAATTGAGCAAACACCATAACTGTAATAATGGACTCGCATATTCATTGTAATAAAGAAAAAACTTTAGACAATACATGTTTTAGAAAAATTCTATTTTTAATTTTTAATTTCTACATATTTTGCTATAATTAGGGTAAATTTAACATTATAAGTTTCTTTTGAAAAATAATTATTATTGTTTTAATTTTGCTCTCAAAAGATAAGAAATAGACGAGTATGAATAGTAAGCGAGTGAGCGAGCGATTGAAAAGAACGAAGGGACAATAAAATTAAAAAAAATCATTTCGTTTTAATTTCGTCAAAATGATGAAAGAAAAATATCATTGATTTAACAAACACAATAAAGTAAAACAATGACATTTGAGCAGAAACAAAGCCAATATATGTTGTATGAAGTAATAATGTGAAATTTTACAATTTATAAACGTAAGATATATAGACGTTAAATAAAAAGAAAAAGTAATAAATAATATTAATAGATATTAAATAAGAGTTTCTTTCCACATATATTGGAGATCAAATACATATCAATAAACAAATGAACTTATGAATAAAAATCATCAATAAAATATAGAATTAATAAGTGAAGGAGGATATTCAATATAAGTATGATGCATAAATAAAACTAAAAAATATGAACATTACTGAGAATAATAAAAAAAAAATATATATATTATAAGACATATTTATTTTTATTACATTAAAAATTAATGTTTAAAAAAGAAAAAGAATTATCGACATTTTAGGCAAAATGAGATGCGAACCATTATAAATCGAAAGACAAAAAAATATTTATAATATACTAAAATTAAAATATTAATACTGATAGAAATTATAAAGCGAAATTATTGATATAAAATTATAATATATATATATATATATATATATATATATATATATATATATATATATATATATATATATATATATATGTCATCATATTGATATTAGTATATAAACAATAATTAAACAATATATTTAATTTTAAATACATTTAAAAATTCATAAACGTATTTATTATAATGAGCGAAACTTTAAAGATTTTTTTATTTTTTGTTCAAAAGAACAAAGTATATTTCTAAAATAAAAAATATATACGTAATTGTTATGATTAAATATATAAGAATTCAAAAATACTGTCATAATTAGTCATAATTATAATTTTAAAAAGTATATTGATTCGTGTAAAATTTAGAATCATTTACAGAAAATTAAATAATCACATCTCTATAAATGTAGGAACAAATATAATTGTCATCAACTATGGGATACATACTTTTAGTTTTCCAATATCATCGTGAGATAAAATTTTTTTGGAAAACGCATTCAAACTTATTTTTCCAACGAAATCTCCTATTTTTATTTATAAAATCAAACGGAGTTTTACACTAAAATAATTGTTTAATTTTAGTGGCATTACTTTAGTTCTTTCTCTCTCTCTCTCTCTAACTACGTATAAAATAGTAAAAATTATATTTTTGATATTGAAATTAATAATATTTAATTATTAAAAATGTAGGCTATTATAAAAGCTATTAAAAGATAAGTAAAAATAGACGTTTTAATAAAAATATTATATAAAGATTTTCGTGTCATTGATGAAATAAATAAAGTAAAAAGATTGTATTCATTTAAAGACTTTTGCTTGAATATTAATTATGATTGCACTTTATGGACATATAAAGTCAATAAATTTCATGCTAAGTTTGATTTGAACTTATAGTTTGAAAAATACTAGTGACATAAATGAAATGAGTCGATCGACAAATAAAAAGTTCATTAACATTAATAAAAATAAATGACCATGACAACTAGCATTATCGATGGATTAAATTTTATTATGAAGAAAATGCTACACTGTTTTTCTTTGGAATAGCGTAAGAAAGTGCACAATTTCAAAATGACATGCAACAGCGAATTCATTTGCTACATTACAATTGTACAATGTTTCTTGATAATGCTTCTTTTTCTTGCGTGTAAAAAAATTGTACACATTTTTTACAAGTTCTCAAAATCGCTTGTTTATTGTGTTATTCTTTTTCTCGTTTTAGAGTGGAAAATTTCTCTCTCTTTTTTTTATAAATATTTGAAAATAAAATATTGATTGCTACTTGGTGTATACGTATATTTTAACATTCAATTTTATACACCTATTTAACTAAGAATTAGAATAAGGATAAAATGTATGGTTCTTTAAATTAAATATCCTATGTTCGCGATGAAATTAGAACAAAAACTTTCTGGAATTATTTGCTAATTTGCAATTAAGTTAAACACTGTAAGATAAAGTCTTATTAACAGATGACAAGTTACATACTTCAAGAGATACATACTTCAAGAAGATTCAAGTTACATACTTATTTCTTACTTTTCAACCAATTTTTCCAATTTAATCTGATTGATTTATTATGTTCATTTAAAATCAATAATTTATTAAATTTATAATAAAAATTTATAAATAGATAAAAATTAAGATTTTGGTTTACAAAATTTGTAAACAATTTATCAACGAATAGTTGATTTGAAATTAAAAATTTTAATTATGCAAATAACACAACAAAAATATATATTGATTATACTGTTTTGAGTTTTCTAAATGTTAAGATAATTGAGTTTCTTACCTCATTAAATACATAATGAAAAATGGCTGACTGTAACAAATAAATGCTTACAAGTACTTTATTTTAACATTATTCTTTAAAAATTAAACTTTTGATGTGCACACATTTATTCCAAAATTTAAAATAGACATACTTACAGTATAACTTTATTAGTGTACAAAATTGAAACTAAAGAACAATTGAATACTCTAAGATTCATTCATCGCAGTTTTCTTCTTTTCAAAGATATATATATATATAAGTCAGACGATTACAAAAGTTTGAGTGTCAAAGACTCATCCATTTGCTTGACACTTTAATGTCTTTAAATATCCTAAGTTAAACTAATGAACAAATAAATCATGATAAGCTTATTTACAATGCGATCTAAATCATTATACCGGCATATAACAATGAAAGGGAGTGCATTTATAACTAATTAAAATTTTTCATCAATTTTTAAATAACATTTACATTTTATTTAACAAAATACATAACTTCTTAAAATTCATTATTATAATCATATATATAAATGTATATACATACATACATACATACATACATACATACATAGACATATAGATGATAATTATTGTTTTCTTTGCAATGCCCGAGTGCAAATTAGCCCTAATAACAAATTCAATGTTTTTTTTTATTTTTTAGATTTTTTAATTTGACTTATTTTAACACTCCCTTAAATTGTCGATAATACGTGGTTTATTTGACTTGGTATTTTTCATGAATATTTTTTAATTATCGTGACCAATCGCAGTTTTCGCAGATATTATGCGATACTTTCTACCTTACGTGATTTTCTGTCTGTGACATTAAAATTAATATTATCTTTATATATATAATTATATATAAATCTTTCAACGCATTATCTTAATCTCGAAGAAAATCGATTATTTTACATTTCTGTAATTGTACTGTATTCTCGTTACATCGAGAAAATGTTTATCTATTGCGTACTTGTAAATACTTACAATACCTTTACATTATATTTGGTTTATTATAAGGAGAAACGTCATTGAATTTTGTTTAAAATTTATTTAGTAAATTAATTTCACATATTTAAATACAATTGTCATTTGCCCATTGTAAGTAAAATCACTTATTTACAATTTCCTTTGTTTGATTGCTATAATTTTTTTACTTGGCCATTATATATATATATATACGAAATTAAAAATATTCTACTAATTAAGAAGTATTTTTGAAGTTTTATCTATTTATAAGGGTATGTCATGTATTTTATAATTATATACACGATAAATACTTTATTCATATTTTTAGTATCCACGTTCAGTTACATAAATATAAATATGGATACGGTTTTTTTTTTTTTTTTGAATATTCAAATCAAGAGATTTATTATCTTAAAGTGTACGTAATTTATCAAGTAATTACACGAAGATCGTTGTATAAGCTTATTGATTTAAATAGTAATTCGATAAAAACCTTTTTCATAGTAAATTAAGAGAAATTTTCATTGATGTTGTGATATATTCTTCAGGGGAAAAAAAAGAAAAAAAAAGAAAAAAAAAGAAAATAATTCAGCCAATAATCATAAGACTTTTAATTCTTTGACAGTTCTCCTTAAAATCACCAAACACATATTTCATTAAAGTGAAAATTATTTAACTATTACACAAAGGTACTATTCTTTCAGCAATGTTGTCATTACGAAATACCTTGTAGTATTGGTATATCTCCACTTTCCTCTTCGTCTTCTTCCTACAATAAAAAATCAATATTAAAACTACAATCTAGTAACAATAGATAAATAAAATGTGAAAAGTAAATATTATATAACTCATAACTAGTACGGATTATTTATAAAATACACTGTGTCTTGATAAAATCATAAATTTTATAGATATTGAAGTTTTCAACCAATAAAATGTCTTTAAATTTTACTTAATATTAATAAATAATTATATTTAGTCATAAATTTATTTCCTGACTTTGACAAGAATTTAAATATATGAATATTTTATGAAAACTTACCTCGTCAAACCCAAAACACGTTTCCATGTCTTTTTGTAGTTTGGAATCACTTGCATGTGTATTTTTATTAATCGGTACTTCGAGTTTTAATGTTCCTACGATTTCTTCAGCTTCTTCTTGTTCTATCAATTCATCTCCACCTTCAGTAACAATGCCACTTTCCTGACTAAGTGGATCCTGCATTACGAGATCTCCATCTTCGCTTGCTACAACTGCCATCTAGTAAATGTAAAATAACAATTAATAATATTCGTCCAAGAACTTAGTACTATATATACTTCAAATATTATTAATATCTTTTAAAATTCAATATGATTTAGTCGAATCATTATTGAAAAAGATGTAATTACTTGTTCCGATGATTGGTTATCCGGTAGTTGAATAACTTCTAGAACAACGTACTGTTGTCCATCGCTTCCTTCGACAGCCATCATGTCTTCCTCCTCTTCCTCCTCTTCCTCTTCCTCCTCCTCTTCCTCCTCCTCTTCATCGTCTTCATCATAACCTTTAAGTTTAGAAGCTATATCACCTGTTCATTTGACACAACACATTAGTCAATGATCTAACCACAGATCATATCGTAAGCGTTCTGTAATAAGTACTTCAAATATTCCACACATAAATAAATACTGAATTCAACAGCATATAATGAATAAATATCATTTGAAAACCTTAAAATATGTATATGCGTGTGTGCTTGTGTGCGTGTCGTACGTGAGTGGGTGTGTGTATGGGTGTGGGTGTGGGTGTGGGTGTGAATGTGCATACCTGTCATTATCTCCACTCTTTGTCCATCGATGATCTGAATTTTCTTTTGTCTTCCTATTTTAAGGGCCTGTTGTTTTTCTTGCAACGATGATTCGGGATCGTGAACAGCCATGTGACGAATAAGATTTCCTTTGTGCCTAATAAGTAATAATCAAACACTTGATTCTAAGCATGTTCTAACCAATAAATATCAATATTATTATCAAAATTGTGTTTATCGATCGATTTTAAATTATAATAGACAATTGATGGAAATTTTTTTGTCATATATACAAAAGTTGCAATATTTAAATGCACCGTGAATTTTTGTTATTATTATTTCTGACAAATGTAGTGCCACTGTGCATGCAAGTATAAATTACAAATGATTTTTGTAAGGAATAATATTAAATATAGCAAAAATAAAGCAGACTTTTATTTTTAAATTAATATATTAGGCAGCGAATCAAACTATTATATAAAAATTAATTTTTGAGTTTGCTAATGAGTCTCGATTGAAACTTACGTCTTGTACTTGTATAAACATATTATTTTATTCAAGTAAAAATTCTCTATATAGCGTATATATTAGCAATAACATTTATTTAATAGTAATGTGTCGTTTCAATATAAAATGTACAGCAATTGCTTGCGATACTTGTAAACTAAACCGTCAAAAATTACGAAAGAAACCAAAATTTTATTTAAATTTTGATAGATTGTTGATTTGACTGTAAAATTTTGAATTTATATCAGAGTATTTAAAGAATTTTGAAGACTACGTAATACATAACTTTGTATTTAAGAGGATATCGGAGGTATTAGTATTTTTAATTGTACAATTGAATTCAAAATTATAAATATTAGATTAGCATTAAAGTTGAACTAAATTAATAATATGTATCAAGATAAACAAAGAATTTTTCCTTTTTTAACGATATTCTTTTTCTAATCTACATTACTGCACGGTGAATATTTTTATATATCATAATATTATTTTATAAGTGAAAAAGACTTAATTGGATGCACAATCATTCTATTTTGTTATAATTGAACATTCACATGGGACATCATGATGCAAAAGATAATATCTAACAGCCACAATTCACAAAGTATAGTCAGCTTTTATATCGAATCGAAACCTTAGATATTACTCTCCGATTCTAAATTAGCTCGATATAAAGGTAACTCGATAAACATACCTAAATGGTCTTTCACATTCTGGACATTGGTGAGTCTTCTCTTGTGGTGCCGGCGGAACATAAGAGGGATTATGATAAAGATTGCAATGTCTCTTTAAGAGTTGTTTTTGCCTGAAGGACTGGTAACAATGGTCACACTGATAAGGCTTTTGATCCGTGTGAATGAGCATGTGACTTTCTAAATGACGCGCTGATATCGAAGCGTAAGGACATAGATCGCACTTGTAACATTTTTCGCCTTCGTGTGTTTTACTGTGCAATTTATAACTGTACCTAAAAATGTTACAATAGCAAAATAGTAAACCACTCTCATAAGCTTAATTAACAAATTAAACATCTACTTCAATTACAAGAAGTCTTTGAAAAGAGAAGGAAAAATGATTTTTATGCTTTTATTTGCAATCCATTGTTATATATATATATATATATATATATATATATATATATATTATGTGGGTGGGTGTGTGTTTTATGTAATTAGTGCACAACTACGAGGCTCATTGATTATTCTAACACATAAGAGACTGTCCTGTAAATTGCTTTGATTAAAAAAAAAATTTTAATCCAACTGTACTCTGGCCAATATTAGAAGTATCGGGGATATTGGATATAAGGAAACATTGAAAACAATTCCATTTGAAAAATATATGCCTCGCAAAAAAATTCTACGTAAATTTCACAATTATTTTCAATTTCAATGTTTATTTATAATATTTAAATTATTAATAAATTCAAGCTTTACTAAACTTGTTAATATTCCTATATAATTAAGAATTACAATTTAACAGCACCCAATTTCCGACATCTCTTAAAGTTATAATAAAATTTTATTTTCACTCTGTGACATACTTTTTAAGCTTATGCTTAATAAATCGACTAACAAACAAAGCATTAAGCCTTGGATATTAATTTAATTTACAGAGTTTATCTTAGGGTAATAAATGACACGAGATATGCATTTATATGAAATAAGTATTAATCGTTATTAATTTAATCATTAATTCTATTATTAACAGAGTCTTATATTCATGAAATAAAAATTGTCATTAGCATTAATAATATGAAGAAAGAAGTAAACGAAACGATTGCTAAAATTTTTAATTGTCGTAACAATAACTTACCTATCAGGGAATGTTTTACCACATCGTTTACACTTTAATGGCTTATCAGAAGTATGTAATTTTTGTACATGAATTCTTAGATCTGTTTTTCTGCCGCACGTTGTTGGACATAGTTCACATTGAAACACCGGTTTATCTCCAACTATTTAATAACAAACAAGAGAACCATTTTCAATTAAATAAATATAATCCTTCTGTCTTTCAAGTTATTAAAAGAGAGAAATAAAAATAATCTCTATAAAGACAATTTTTATCAACGAATAAAATGAAATATTTATTGATATCAGTTTTTCCAAGCTTACCAAATGTATTAACATTTCATTAATTATATGTAAAATAACGATTTATTATTATAATATCAATTATTTAAAAAATATCTTTAAGTATAATAATACCATTATAATAATTTATTGTTTTAGATTTTTTACAAGACTCAATTGTGTATTTAATTTTTTTTGTTTTTGTTTTTGTTTTTTGTCTAACAAGATTACCATCTATTAGAATATATTTTCAATATTTACTGACCATTATGGACAAGCTTATGCGCCTTCAAACTATTGGATTGAGTAAATCTTGCATTGCAAATATCACATTCGTACGGTTTTTCACCAGTGTGTATACGTAAATGACGTTTTAATTTAAATGTATCAGGACTCGCATATGTACAATGTGGGCACTAAAAGAAATCGTGTAATTTTACAGAATGTAAACAAATATAAATTTTCAGTATCTCTTAATGGTAATCAATGTAGCAATTGATTAAACATACTTGATATGGCCGTTCTCCAGTGTGACATCTTATATGTCGTTTGAGCTTCGACAACTCAACAGATGCATAATCACACTCGTGGCACTTGTGAGGTTTTTCATGAGTATGTCTATATCTAACATGTCTCACAAGCTCGCCTAAAATTATTAATATTAATTATTACAATCTTTGTCACATTTTCTCAATAAACATAATAGTAAACATTATAAGTGACTCTATGCAAAATTATTGATGCAATTAAAGTAATTTAAACAAAAGATTTTTTAAGTAAATGTCAAAAATATACCTATAAAGTTAGAGAGTTTGTTTGGTTTCACATGACGTTACATAACAATTTATAATTATAACAGGTATATGATAATGTAACGGTGGGAAATATTATTTTTTACATTCAATATTAACAAATATTTAAAATAATATTAAAACAATCTAAAATGAAATTCTTACTTATTTAGAATATCGTGTAAATAGAATAACCAGATAGATTATTCTGTAAAAGTGTGAAATCTTAAAAAATTGATAAGCATTACATAATTAATTAAACAAATTTTTAATTGATATAATATATATATATATATATATATATATATATATATATACACAAGAATGCTAATTTATAGACATAAAGAGAATTTAAACATTATTAGACTTGATAATAAAACATCTTTATTAATGATTTTACCTGAAGTAGTGAATGCACTGTCACAAAATTTACAATGATGGGGCTTAGTTCCTGTATGGGTATTGACATGATTTTGGAGCGAAGCTAAAGTTTTGAAGCCTCTTTCACAAACACTGCACTTATGAGGTCTCTCTTCCGAGTGTGACTTCATGTGTCGAGATAATAGGTAACGTTTGGGGCTTGTATAGTTGCAATAGTTACACATGTGGGCTTGAGTGACAGTCTGTGATTTCTTAGGGATGAATTTAATGATTTTCGTTTTATCATCCTCAACTTCGGATTCTACGGCTGCCTCATTATCCTCGTTATCCTCAAAGTCATACACTGTTAAGTCCTGTTCACCGTCTTCACCTTCACCATTCTCATTTTCCGTCTTGTTCTCAGTTTTACTCTCAGCCTCTGGTTGTTGTACTATTAATACGTAACTTACTTCTCCAGGATTTGAGTCCGATGGCACGATCGTTACTGTTTGATAAGCTTCACCTGAATTGAGGACCATTTGATTACCAATGTTCTCCGTTGTTTGTACCTGGGACAAATTAAACAATACATTTCAATGTCTTTGGATGATTTATGGCCATTATATTTTAATGTAACTTTTATATTTCTTTATAAATATGGATAAATTTTAATGTAACTTAAAAGAATATATATATATATATATATTACATGATTTTCTGCATCAACTTGTTCGAGCTCTTCAATTTCTTGATATTGATTTTCATTACTAGCTTCTTCAATTTGCCCATCGCCTTCGCTTACTTCTTGTATCTGTACCTGAGTTAAAACAGGTGTGTCATCTCCGTTAGCTTGATAATAATACTGGCCTGTTTGATCAACAAAATATGTTCCACCATCTTCTCCCGTAAGTCCTTCTACTTGTTGTACTGATAAATATAGAGAAAGAATTATTATAAAGTCGTTAATTAATATTTAATGCGTAAGTTTTGCATTTGTGACCTAATCCTACACTTATAATCAATAATATTAGCACGGACACAAAACAACTCGCACAAAAATAAAATAATATTATACTAAAAAACAAAACCCAATTATCGACCCAGTAATAGTGATTTATTAATTTTTTATGTTTTGTCATACTTACATTGTACATGCTGTAACTGTTCCCCTTGACCACCTTCAATTTCTTTGTTAAACGATTCAAGGTACGTCTGTATTTCTGTCACTGACTCCTGGTTGCCCTCCAATTTTATAGTTGTTACGTTTGACATGGTCACAACATTAATTTGTGATTTCTTTAATATATATCAATCTAAAATATAAAATACTAATTAATACATATTTATTTATGAATTTGATTCCTAATTGTTTTGTGGCTTTATTGATTATTATCAAATTACTTTCTTTGTGCCTCAAATCATATGTAAAACTGTGCACGTTCAGTGTGTTTGGGTATGCACATGCAAGAGAATATACATATACAAACGCATGTCTACGCGCACAAAGGGTATTATAAAATTGTATTAATTTATATATACTTATATACACATTTATTAGTTCCTTTATTTACTAGCGCAGAAAGTACATTTGCATGTGTGTTGACATAGTCGCTTATACATGGATATATATGGATTTTGAACAGGAAACAATTCAATAAATGAAATATAATAATTAATACTAGTAACTTGTCGTTAGAGGTACTCGATATTAGAGACACAAATTCAATAAATTTGATTTCTTAATGTTTCTTAATACATTATATAATAATATATTATATTTTTAATATATCTATTGTGAAATTGTATAGGCTGTAGTCGGTGCAACGATATTATTCTCATTTGAATGTAGCTTTACTGTAAAATTTTGTAATTGTATAGTGGAGCATAATATCAAATTTTCGAACTGTTTTCGTTTTACATTAAACATTGCTAATAATATTACATAAGTGGTAATTTTGTAAATGTAAATTATTAAGTACTTTGATTAGCATGCATTATCGGAATGAAGAAATAAGTAAATAAATAAATGAACAAACACAGACGCACGCGCGAGCGCGTGCCAAGGCACGAAAGCACACAGGCACCCATAAATATATATTTATTTATATATATATATATACACGCACACAATAAATATATACGTATGCATATGCACATAAATATGCATATGTGTATTCATATATATATGATGTGCTTACGGTCGTCATAGTGTATGCGTGTATGTGTGTGTGTGTGTATATATATATATATATATATATATATGCATGCATATATGCATAAAAATTGAATATTGATAATGGGTATTGTTGTGGGCCAGGTCAATGTAATGTTAAATTATGTCAATCAAACATAATTTAAACTATTATTTTATGTTGGCATAGAGATAGATTATTGTCAAAAGTTGAAAAAATGACCAATACCAGATGTACTATTCTTGTCACCCTTAAAAACTTGTGCAGTTTGAAAAGCACTAGCCAGGCACTTTGCAGAATTATCAATTGGCATTTTGCAGCTTTTAATCGAGGAATCGAGCGAAGAAGTGATATTTAAATGCAAGCCTCCATCGTCCATTCGCTCAAGTGACCAATCAATCATGCACAAACAGCAGCACATTAATGAAATAATTGGAAATCGTGACAAGAGGTAAGGTAATAATACAACAGGCAGTCGAGCAGGTCGCGGTAATGGCAAACACTTTTCGTAAAAGTATGATGAAGAAGTTGGTAAACCGTAGGAGGGTAATGAGAACGACAACAAAAACAACAAAAAAAAAAAAAAAAAATGAAAAGAAAAGAAAAGAGAAGAGAGAGAGAGAGAGAGAGAGAGAGAGAAATAATAATAACGTGAACAACAGCAACAGCAACAGCAACAACAGACAACAACAACAGACAACAACGAAGGGAGGACTATCATCAGCGAATTCGCCGCTATATATTCGTGACTCAAGTCAGTCCCCCTGACAAGTCTCGGCTTACGCAGCTGTACAAGGTATCATTGGCGGGTCGAGTCCGTTAGCATCGAATAATCATCCCGACTCCCGCATGTTCGTGAGCCCCGTGAAAGTCACCAGGTCGGGACGGACGGGGCGCAACGGTCCGATGGAAGAGGATAATGCGGCAGACGAAGAGTAACGTCCGGACGCCATGACTCCGGGCAACGCGAGTACGCGAATTGCAATGGCCTCGAGGGCCTTCGACGGTGCTGGCTACGGCGACGGCGACGGCGACGGCGGCAGCGGCGATGGCGGTGACGATGACGGTGACGGTGACGGTGACGGCGGCGGCAGCGGCGGTGGCGGTGGCGGCGTCCTCGTTCCGGGAACCGAGGCTCGCGAGTTCGAAGATCGGACGACCGCGGGATAATGGGTCAGTGCACCTGGAGGAGGCGCATTCTGTCGGCCGAGAGGGAGCTCGGGCGTTCTGCTTTCGGCATCAGGACACAGGGGGCATTAAGCGACAAAAATTTCAGAAAATTATCACCGTCGGCGCTGTCATCAATATGGAGAGCCAAGCTCGAGTTGCCGCTGCTGCTGCTGTTGCTGCTGCTGCTACCGTTGCTGCCGCTGCTGCTGCTGCTGCTGCTGCTTCTGTCGCTGTCGTTGTCGCTGCTGCTGCTGCTGCTGCTGCTGCTGCTGCCGCGATCGCGATCGCGATGCACACGACGAAGGTGCGCTAGACGGAGCCGAGCGCTTGTCTCCGCCAGTCCCCGCTGCTAGTGCACGCACACGCGGACCACGTTAAAGTAGTTTATCTAAAGGCTAAAGGCACGCCGTCGCCGCCGCTGCCGTTGCCGCCGCCGCTGCCGCCGCCGTGCTCTTGTACTCACCATGTATGTATGTGACGCATGCCAACGCGTCCGTTCTTCTGCTGTGCCTCCGCCGTGACGACGGGCTTTTTCGCCTACTTGGGCGGACGTCGGGGTACGTGCCGAGGAGACGCTCGCGTCTTTTTGTAGACGTCGCGACTTATGGATACGCGCCTCTCTGTGTACGTGAAAACCGTTTTTACGTGCGTGTGCGTATGCGCGCGCGCGCGCTCGCGCGAGTGTGTGTGTGTGTGTGTGTGCGTGTGATTGCGTGTGTATGTGAATTCGGGAGGGCGCCTCTCGAATGTGTGCACTTGGGTCACACACAGGGCCTCTTTTTCTCCCTTTCTCTTTCTTTTTCGCTGCTGCTGCTGCTGCGCTGCTGCTGCTGCTGCTGCTTGCGTACGGCAAACTTGGATTATCGTTCGCGTGAGGGCGTTGTATATTGGAGCTTTTGTAGTAGCATACGAGTTCCGTCTATCTCTCTCTCTCTCTCTCTCTCTCTCTCTCTCACTCTCTCTCACTCTCTCTCTCGCTCATTCGCTCGTAGAGTCTCTCGCGGCCTCTCCTCCTATACTCGTTCCCCGTCGCACGTCACGTCACATCACGTCACGTCGGTCACGCTCTCTCGCTTTCTCGCTCTCCTGCCACTAGCTCACTAGCTCGCTCACTCTATTATTTCGCGCTTCTTCCTACTGCGCATTACCAACGCACCTCTAGGCCAACGATATTTTCATACAAATCCTACGATTTACAAACGCTCCGCTCCGCTCACCACTTACAATCCCCTTTATTCTTAGTTCAAATTTGGTCACATTAACGGCTACGCAGCATCTCGCATTTACAACAACCATTCGCACCATAAAGGTGACCCTAACGAGAAACGAGTTGTTGTGTTTTGTTTTGAAATACTGGGAATAAGTCTCTCGGTAACCAGTGATTTATCAACTTTAATTAATTCGGAAATTGTGTAAGCTTATCTTTAAGAAAAATACTCCTTATCGCGTCGAAGATTCATTCGTTAATCAAATTACTTTCGATTATCGTTCTCATTTAACGTCGAATAATCGTAAAATGCCCACGAATGGTTTAAAAAAATAATAATAATGACATAATATCAATGGAAGCAGAGAGCAGTGTTAATAGTAGTGCTAGTAGTAATATTAATAGTAGTATAGTAAATAGTAATATTAGCAGTAGTAGTAGTGTAGTAATATAAGTTTACGATAATTTTTGTTACGGGAGCAATAATCGTTATTATGTGATTGACTCTGTCCGTTGACCAAATTGTCGGGAAGAAAATACAAATATAGGCATCCCCTCTAATCCTTTATTTCTTCAAAAATTACACCTTCCCGGCTATTCCGTTAATAATACTCGTGACGTATATAAATTACGATCGATTACGCATTAAATACAGGTTATTTATACGGTTATCATGCACTCGGCTACGTAAATGGCCAAACCTCGGTGACATACGTCGACATTTTCTTTTCCAATGCAATTCGCGCGCTTATACACGAAATAGCAAATGGCGCCTACATGTTCACATTCATAGGTGTGAGGCTTAAAAAGTTTCCAAACATTTTATTTCGAATCCCGAGGAACGCGTAGTTCGTCTTTGGCGTATAGATGGCAGCATTGTACAACGAGTCGGTTGACAATAAATTTTTCACAAACAATATGCAGAAGAATAAAAATTCAAATTCTCTCTATTTACATTAAGTTTTATGTCTTAACGTCTTTTCCTACCCATCTTAATATCATATTGATTTAAGAAAAAAAAAAAGAAAAAGAAAACAGTTTGGGGGCAGATGGGATTATTATAATAATTTTCAAATTTCTCGACTTGATTAATATTTAAATTATATTATTGTAATTATAACAGGTTACTTGTGCATAATACCGTACAATTATGAACGAGAAATTCGTCGATTGAGTATTTTTTTTTTTTTTTTTTTTTTTTTTTTTTTTTTTTTAAACACTTTACTTTTTGAATATTGCATATTTTAAATATACTAATTAATTATACATTTGTTTCTAGCCCTTTTTTTCATTCATATACATCTCATTAGTTATAAAAAATTCTGGTTAGGGAAAAGATCTTGCGCAACAAAACGTATGCAAATTCACGTTTTTCATTGGCAGAGAAACATCGGCATTCAGATTTTCAGAAAAATTAAATTATTTCGTATCTAGCAAGAGATGTGCAAGTGCCGCCGAAATAAAGCAGACAGGGACATTGCGGCCAAACGCTAATTCGAGAAAGACGCGCGAACGTTATCCCTACTTCTTTCGCGCCAAACAGTTTTCATGGGCAACCATTCGACCCAACCGACTGTCCTTCCAGCGGAGCAATTTGTCCAAGTATTTCCATGCGGCGCGGGTCATAAGAATTACGAACCAAGCGCCCAGAAATTAGGAACAGCCTCTTAACCATTAACGTACATTAACTATAAGGAATTATTCCAAATTTGTTTTGGCATTTAAAATCTAGCGCTGACTATCTATAAAGTAAACTACTTTATAATCGTACATCCATACCACGTCTCTCTCACACACACACACCTTGTTGTAACGACAGTTTCACTTGACAGTTCTCACATTTTATTATTATTATTATTATTATTATTATTAATAATAATAATAATAATGGCAATCCATAATTAAGCATATAAAGTTATTAGTTGTTTCTAAAATGTCAGAATGCTTTTAACAAAATTCTGATGAGTTATTCAGTTACATTTTGTAATTCTATGACTTTCTTCATTTGTAATATTGTAACTTTTTTTTTGGATGTTATTTTAATTAAGTTTTCTCTTTTCACTAAGTAGAAATTCGTGTTATTTAAAAAGATAATAATAATAATAACAATAAAGAAAAAGGGTAGAATGACAAAGCATTCGTAAATCCAAATTAATATATGTACGATATTTAGATAAATTTAGTTAAATAAAATTTTTACAAAAGTAATTATTAGTTCATTTAAATTTTCATTTTCTTTCAAGCCTTGAATTCAACTTTCTTTTACTTCACTCCTTATTTTAATATTCAATAAACTACATTTACTTACAAATTAACAACGAATAATGAAATTCCTTTTTCTTTTTTTTTTCGAGTATTTAAACAATATGGTATCGTAAATTTCAATAAAAGTGTATTCATAGTATTAAATTTGACTAATACTTGTGTTCAATTAAACATTACGATAACCACTTAATTTTATTTTAATGTAAAAAAATGTTATTGTGATGAATGTCTTTGTTAATGATATTTTTTTAGTCAATATCGACTGTAAAAAGAATATTAAAAAAATTTTTTTTTATAAATAAGAAATATTTCTTCATATATGTGTGTGTATATATATATATATATATTAGATTTTAAGTACACGTAAAATTAAAATTTTTAAATGTATTTAAAACTAGTAATTTGAAGAATGTATGTATAGAGGGAAGAGAAAGAGAGATAGAATAAATGTGCTAATTTTAATACGAGACTTGGATTCATCTTTCAACTCATATATACTTAGATGTTTAAAAACTATAACTATTTATTAATGTCCATATACTATTTTCGGTTATAGGTAATAAAATGTATACTACAATAAGTGTATTATTATTATTATTATTACCTTACCTACAATGTAACGATTTATAATAATACATAATTTAATTTGGAGCAATGACGTTCAATTTTGAATTTCTTCGTCGTCTAATGAATACCCAAAGGTTTTATAATATAAATATTCTTGATATATTTATGGTAAACTACAATTTTTAAACATAATTTTGTAATTATAATCGTTTAATTGATTGATAATGTTTATTTTATACCCTTACATGTGCACAATTAACAAGTGTATATAGTATAATATTTAATCGTCAATAGTACTATTTATTAAATAAAATTAACTAGAGTAGATATCTTTTATGATAAATCATGTGTTCCAAAATTTTTTGTTAGAATTATTTGTGACTGTTAATGTATTAAAAACATGTTAATTCGTAATTTTTACATTTATAGATAAAGGTATATATTTTTTATAAAATTTTTTTTATAAAATTAAAGATATAATTAAAAATTTACTGTAATAATAAAACATATTAATAATAATAATAATGTCTATTTATTCTTTCTATGGCATTAAAAGTAGTTAACACTTGGCTATGCCATGGTTAATTAAAATTGAGAACTTGATCCGTCTCTCTTTTGCTGAATAATGTCCATAAATGTTCTAGAATTGATCGACATTGTTTTTAATTTTACATGTATTGCCATTTTATTGGAAAATTGTGGCGAAGTTCATCAACGATCTAAATCTTACGTATGATGAATTATTAGCAAGTAATCGTCAATAATGTTTCTTTTATTTATGAACAATAAATCGATCTAAAATTATATAATTATATAACAAAATATATATATATATATATATATATATATATACAGCAAAAAAAAAGTATCTAGTAATGATGATTTTCAATAGAAATATTTCAATGGCTTTCTTTACAATTCGTTATATTTACAATTTATGCGTTTTATAAATAAAAGTTAAAATATTTTTGAATTATTAGAGCAATGCATATCCACGACTATTGTCGCGTTACTATGTTGTATCGCTTTTTTCTTTCAAGTTTATGCGGATTCGTCATAATTCATGCGCTCGACCGTACATAATGGCATCGCCTTTTTTGAATAACTTCAAGGTCAGTTCACACTTTCTCAATTTCACAAGTCGAATTGAAATAAGGTAATTCAGCAATGTTTTGCCTACTTAATTACTGAAAAGTGTAACGATCGTTTTATAGCGATATTAATATTTACTATTTAAAGAGGGAGGAAAGAAAAAAAAAAGTCTTTAGAAAAATATCGGTGAAAAGAATAAATTATAGGAAAAAAAATTGTATTGAAAAATTATTTTAATGTAGATTAATATGATGCACTTACTTTTTTTTTTTATTTTTAACTAAAAGATGAATGTATTATATCAAATCATTAATAATTCTCTGGGGGTTTTGGAATTTATCAGATTCGTGGAATTCTTAACTAGAAATTTGGGCTATTTTACGCAAATATGGTTTGTTTAAGGTTAGTCTGGAATAAATTTTTATCATGCGAAATAAAAATTGATCGGTGATGAATTTACCGATTCTTTAAAAAATTATAAAAATAATCGTAATTCAGAGTACGTGCGTGGATTTTTAATGCTGTTATATTGGGTGAAGTAATTCTTGGAGCAGACAACAAGCTGACAAGGGGCCCGGATAGTCTAAATATCTCCTTAGAATGATTACGTTAGGGCGATTTCAATTAAATGCAATTAAACAAAATTGCAATTACGCTCCGAGAGTGGAAATATTTAAAGAAAAAATGTAATTATAATTTTCTTGCAGCATAAAATTTATCATACATCTAAGCGCCAATTTATCCAATTGACAAATTATTGCTGTTCTGAACATTTTTTTTTTTTTTTAATGGACTAATGTGCTATTTAATTTAGTAGAAAATTTCAAATACGCTCACGCACCAGCAATTGTACATACGAATTTCCCGCTTAAATGGAAATCGTATCTTTGTATACGCACCTTTTCATTCGCTGTTTTTTGGTAAAGTTGAGCAGCAGACGGCGTTTTCCTTAAGTGTGAGTTTCATTTCATGATTCATCTGCAATCGCAATGCATGGGCGACTTTAGCGACGAGCAACAATGGATCGCTTGGCAGGAGGTGACGAGTTATCGCGTATTTTCTGTAAATATTCGTCGTTGTTAACAATAGGGTGATTTTCATCAAATATCCAGAATCACGTGAGAGAAGATATTGGAGAAATAGAGAAGGCCCGTAAGCGAAAAACTACAGTACAAATAAAGACAAAGAGTTAGTTTGGTAGAAGGTCGCGAGCTTCAACGACTTAAGCATAGTATATATATGTGGACGTAGATTATAGTTTTGCAAGAAGCCTTTAAGCGTATGTTTATTCGCGCACTTGGACGGGGTGTGTATCTTTCATCGCTCGATCGGAGAAAAATTTAATCGTTCCTTCAATAACAACACGACATTAACAAGTTTTTCACACACAAACACATATACACGCATTCGGCGTCTTTTTTTTTTTTTTTGACGAGTCAAGTCGATCGTCTCAATCTTCTCACACGTTTCAGTGTGATACGCAATTTTGGTTTAGATGGGCGACGACACAACGTGTTACAAAAGGTATGGTTTTATTAATATTTTAGGACTCGGGCGTGTGATTAAGAATGTATATTTTTCAGTAATTTTTCATTTAATCGTAGAGCATTAAATTCGTCCATCAATGTAAATAATGCTTCTTTTATTTGTGAATATATTTGCCAAGGTCATTTCTGCGACAGAATTTATAACTAATCATAGAGGTGAAATTAAAATTCGTCGCAGAGTTATTTTATGTTATTGGAAAAATAAATATTGACGCCATTATTATTGTCAACATTGTTTTAAAGCTCTAATCTACTATACAATAATAAGTCCTGTTTTATTACAATTAATTGTAATCGCTTCAGCAACGATGGCTTACTCCAGTTATTATTAAGAAAGATTCATTTTTCCGATGATGATTTATCTATACACAGTTTTATTTGCAAGATACTTTATCTCTTATAATTTGGCTTTCTAGAAACAAACATGAAATTGTCTTGAATGCGTGTAAACATTGGAAATACATAAATACACACACTCGCATATGTATATAAGTATATATACATTTTTAAATATGATGTTGTTATAGTTCATTTTATTAGAATATTATTCTTTTCTTTCGCGCTATTTTAAAATTAAGACTATTATTTATACGTTACAATATTACTCATCAATATCAATATATTTTATTTTTATATTGCAGATATAAGTACAGTTGAATAGATAACGGATATTCTTTCAAAATGCTGTCCGACATGAATCATATTAGGAATACTAAAACAGTGGAAATTGTCGAGGAATATACCTCCTCGCTTCAGGAACTCAATACAAACAGCAAACCACATATCAATATGCTTACTCTATTAGCGGAAGATTATATCGAATATGCATCAGCTATAGTTGAAGCAGTAGAAGCCCATTTACAAAAGGTTAATATCTTTGGATGTTAAAGGTCCTATCTATCCACTCTTATTACATAAAATTCTCATGCATAATTTTTTAAATTTCACTAATTCTATAATAGCATGTGTTGAAAACAAATTGAAATAAAAGACATTCGTTTTAATATCAATTAGTGATTAAATGTATCTAAACACTTATTAATACTAAATGTTATATCAGCTTGCTTTTTATCAATCAATTTATAAATGTTAATTTTATTATCGCAGTATAAATAAAGATGCATAAAAATTGAAAGAAAAAAATTTTTTTAATTTTGAAGAGATATTTTTATAATAAATGTTATTATGCTGATATATATGAGATTGCTCTTACATGTTTTAAAACGAGAAATTTATGACTAACTGAAATTATAGAAATGATAAATTCGTAAAAAAGAATTTTTGGAGTATGCGACACTCTGAAATGTGGATAGCTAGGATTACAATTTTTGAAATCATTGTCATAACTATAAATAACAATATTGATTGACGTTGAATAATTAATTTTACAATTTAACTTCAACAAATTGTTCTATTAATCTACATTAAAATACGTTCAGTAAAATTAGATACTTTTAATCGCCTCAAATTTAAATTAAATACATACTTAGGAAAATTAATTTCTATTTCTATGAAAATTGTAAAATAAGTAATAAAATGTTGATGTTAATAAATTATTATAAGTGATACATAATGATAATGTTTTTTATCAAAACTCATTTATAAGTAAATAAGTCAGTGTTGAAACATCTGTGATATTTTACGTAATTTTATATATTTTTGTAAATAAAAAATAAAAGAATATGTGTAAAAAGTTTTTATATGCAAAAAGCCTTCTTCTGTGATTTCATAAACATAAACATCCGTATTGCTGAAACTTTTTATCATTTACTCCAGTGTTTTTGTTTCGTTACACTTTAAGTTTGAGATTACAACTATACGCTTAAATGTATAAAAATTAAATTATCATTAAATCTATAATAGTTAAAATTTATTTTTAATATCACATGTTTTTGTTGCTTTGATGTACAAATATATTATATTTAAAAAACAAACAAAAAACAATAAGAAAAAAAAAATTGATGCATTGTACGTAACAAGAAAAAATAAGTATAGTTTAAAATGAAAGGAAAAAGAAGCAAAGGATAGAGTGAGTATTATGTTTTTACCAGGTGCAAAGTGAGGTCAAACTTCCCGTTCTTTATCTTATCGATTCAATAATCAAGAATGTAAATGGATCCTATTTAAATCTTTTCTCAAAAAATATTGTTCATACATTTTGCGACGTATTTGAAAAGGTAAACTATTATTAAATTAAAACAATTATTAAAACAATAATCTTCTCGATATTTGTATTGAAAAAATAATACTTTAATGAAATAGGTGGATGAAAATACAAGAGTGAAAATGTGGAAATTAAGGCAAACGTGGAACGAAGTGTTTCCCATGAAAAAATTGTTTTCTTTAGATGTACAAGTTCACAGTATCGATCCGGCCTGGCCTTTATCATCTTTACCTCCAAACGCTGTATCATCGAAATCAATTATTCATGTGAATCCTAAATTTTTGTCGATGGTATGGATTTTGTTTCTACTCATCGTAATCCTGCTGCTAATCGTCATTATTAAATTTTTCGTATTGTTATAATTATAGCAGCAGAAAATACAACAGCAGATGATATTACCACCAGTAAAATCAGTGACTGAGCCTGCTTCTGAATCGGAACTGAAAATGAAAGAGGAGTTTTTAAAGAAACAGCAAGAGCTAATTGAACTACAGAAGCTGAAACCAAAATTAGAAATGTTGCTCCACAAACAGAGGCAATTGGGAAGGTCACTTATCCATATTAAACCTGAATTGGTAAATATTGATTTTTAGTCAAAATTTTTTTATTATATAATGTATTGTAAAAATAATTAATATACATTATTCATAATATATTTTGAATTTATTTATAGATGGCTTCTGATTGTGCCTTTAAACAATCAATAGTAACCACTGTGCCTTACGATGATTTACGATCAATGGAAAAACAGGTAAAAAAATTATAAATACTATATTAATTTTACAAGCAGAGTATTGTATTTTACCTCGTGTAGATTAATGCTCTTACAATATTCATAATTTTTTATTCGTCATCTTCTGAATTTATACTTGTGTTATGCAGTTTGTATTTTTTATAACATTTCATAATGAAGTGTAATTTCAACAGATAACCTAAAGCCTACTTTTTACTTTAATAAAAGACTAATTATTTAAAATAATAAAGGTATTATATTTTTATTTTTATTATATTTATCGGTTTATTGTTGTTGTTGTTTTTGTTGTTTTTGTTGTTTTTGTTGTTTTTGTTGTTGTTATTTTTATTTATTTATTTATAAATTTTTTTATTTAAATGTGCGCATACAGATTTATGATTAGAAATTTAATGTATTCAGTAAAAACGTAAATTATTCACGTATGTAAATTAAAGTTCAAATATTCTTTATAATTAGTTGAGTTAAAATTATTAGTTTTTATTTTAATGTGCATACAGTTATAGTAGTACAGTTATGGTTCCAATTGTTTTGCAGTCATTAATTCGAGAGAACGAATTATCGACGTCGATGCAGCAAAAGGTTCTAGGCCTTCAATCTCTGGATCCTCAGCTGCAAAGTGAAATGGCGCTGCAGAATGGCGTTAGCATCAGCAGTATCGCCGATGAGGATCTCGAAGCAAAAGTTTCGACGTGTCTTGAATTTAGTGTCGACAATTCCTTAGTTAGCCTTAGTCCGGTTAAAGTACGCACGAGCGACGTGGCTCCGCGATCCGATAGTTGTCAGAGCGACTCTAATACTGATTTATCACTGATTTTTAACGATAATAAATGCTTTGATAATGACCGTAACCAAAGATCTAGTAGTAGTAGCCAAAAAACAGCGATAGCCGTAATGGGCGACGCGCAGCAGGAGAATTCTTCGGATCGCTCGCCGTCGAAGGGTTCTTCGGCTCGCGGTCCCCTCTCCTCTTCATTAACTTTGAAACAGCAGCAATCGAATTCCCTGTCGCATAATTCCTCCGCATCGTCTCACAATAATAACCGATCCTGGAACAAATCCCAAGATGACAGCTTCTCGTTATCAAATACCACGTCCTCTTCGATCTCCTCGTCCTCGCCTTCCTCTTACTCCTCGCCCCATAAAAAGTCCAAATTACATCGACGTAGCCGAAGTCCTAGCGGTTATCACCACCATCACCACAATTACCAGCATCGTCACTCCCCTAAGCTGCACCAAACTTGCCTCGACGAGGAGGAGCAATTCGGTGGCTCGCTCGTGATCTCGCCCCCGCAACCCTCGTCGGCGAATGCTTTTAAGGACGGCGGTGGTAGCGATCGCGGAAGGAAAGGAGGCAGGGATAGTACTAGTCGCAGTCGCAGTCGCAGCCGTAGTCTCGAGGGCAAGAGGCGGGACGACGTCAGGCAACACGACAGCGGCAGCAGCAAGGACGAGGATTTGCGGACAGCGTTGGTTGCTGCCAACAGTGCAGCAGTGGCAGCCGCGGCGGCGGCCGCTTTGGACACGAGTGAGTTGTGATGTCTCCCTCGAAGCATGATTCGAAATGGGACACCTTCCAGTCTTCTACGCTCTTTTACGCTCGAAGCCTTTTTTTTTTTTACAAGATTTTTTTTCTTCGAAAAGTCAGTTGGACATGACACGATGATTACACTGGATTTTAACGTTCTCGATACCTTTCTAAGGCCATTATAACGTTAAATGCATTGTAGACGATTAAAGCACATTATTGAAATTATTTCCGAAGGTTGTCGATTGAATTGTGACTTAATTGAAGATATTAGAAGGGTGACACAATCTTTCCATGGCTTGTTATTTCCGACCCTATTTAATAAACATTTATCAAGAGCTTATCTTACAAACAAATTCATTTCATTATTATATTAGAAGCTATTTCAATTGTAAAATTTGCATTCTCGTTCCTTTACATAAGAAATTCATTTTACAAGACAATTTTTTTTTTTTTTTTGTTTTTTAAATTTTCTCTAATACATTCACATTGTTTTGAGTAAATCGAATTTAACCTAAATCACGAATAATTTCCCATAAGTATCATTTAAAAGCATATACCAAGGTATATTTGAGAGCTATGTTACTTAAAATTTATTATTTTCTCTTATTAAAAGCAAGTCAAGACTTGTATTATATCGTTTTATTTATTAAAACTTATATTTAATAATAGATTAATATATCCTTTAAGTATTGTTTTTCATTAATTTCAAAGAAATCATAAATTTAAAATTTTGTGAATTATTTTGTACTTATGTGTCAATGGTTGGTTATTTTTAGCGATCTTATTTTAAACTAAATAGGCTAGTAGCAATTGCTTTTGTTATCCAATCAAATTTTATTTAAAATATCAAGGATTTAAGTAATAACACAAGGTATGTCGTGATGACATACTAAAAATGGAGTTTTGCAATGTTTAATTTAATATAAAGAAACAAATACCTCGATAGAATGATTATATATATATATATATATATATATATATATATATATATATATATATCTGTGTGTGTTATATTTTCTATATATAGTACAAATGTAGTACAATTCTTTTGTATTTAGTACTGAGCAATACATTTTTAATAGATAGCTTTAATTGCAAATTCAGAAAATTTTTTATTTCAATTTCATTTGAAGAAAAAAAAAGTATTTAACGAAGTAATGAATTTATTATTATAAAGTTTTTTTGGATCTTTAGGATCTATATGAGTAATTCATTTTAAGTGATAAACTTATAAGCGCATTAAAATTTTTATTTGTTTTAAATTCCATTCAATATGTGAATAATTTAATTATTTTTATTAGGAAATATAATACTTTTGATTTTATAAAATATTTTTTTTTTATGATTATAAACTAATTTTTAATAATTACAGAACATTTTCGTAAGTAAATGTTTCTTAATGTTTAATAATAGTCTATATATTGAATTTATTTGAAAATTTTTTTTTTAATATTGAAAGTGAATGTGTTTTAAAAATTTATAGTTTCAGAAATTTATATTAAAACTTTTAATAAATCATTTTCGAAATTTTCATCTAAGCTATTTGTTTGCTAATAAATACTTTTTATTAATCATATTTATTTACACGTATTATTTAATAATAATAATATCAATTAAAACAATATTTTTATAATATTTATTTAAATAATTAAATAATAATTAAAAACGTAAAAAAAATTATGATTTATATTTACTTTTTATTTAAGAACTTTTCATTTATTCAAATTAATTTGTCCTAACGTACAACAATTAGGAATATGAAAAATCATATTTTGTTGTACACGAGCACATTTTTTTTATAATAAAAACATAAGCTTGTATATAATATGTTTTAAAAGAATAAAAAGTATATATATATATATATATATATATATACGAATTTCAGTAAATATTACAAATGCGCTACCCTCTTTCGAAATAATTCAAGAGGTATATGAGCAATTAAAATAATAATCGGAACTTTACATAAATTTAATATATTGCATTTAATTTGAACACTTTTTATGCTATAAAATCTAATGATTATTTTTCTAGAAGAAGATTTAGATCTACGTATACTTCCAATGACATCTAATAAGAGACAATCAACAGAAATACTTCAGCCATCAAATGCAAAGAAAAGCAAGGATGAAAGGTTTGATGAGTAAGTTATTACAAATTTATTTAGAAATAATAATAATAGATGATAAAATTAATAAAATGATTGCACATTTTTTATTTCAATAATAATACTTTTTAGCAGTTTCTTAGCATTTAGTCAAACGATTTATGACTAAATTATAATGTCGTATTAATATGTATAGTTTTTAACATTGGAGGATGACGTTGTTAATAATTTATATTTATAACAGTAATAATATATAGTTCCTTCTGCTTGAGTCTTTTTTTTTAAGCCAGTTTTTAAGCAAATTGCCATTTAAATCGTACGTTTGTAGAATAGCAGATTAATTTTCATCATTAATTTTTTTATTTATCAATATTAGAGATTCCATTAAAAGAGTTTAAATTGCTTTTGAGTGAAATTTTTTTACTTTTCGTAATACAATATTGAAAATTTTATTTAATTTTTTTTGTTATTATATATAAAGGCTTTTATCGTTGAGAACATAAAGTTGTAAATTTACTATTAAAAGGAACGTTAATTTTAACATGAATTTTAATATGAAAATAAGTATGTGTTGTGCATAGCCATGTACGTACACATTTATGTATGCACTTCAATAAAATTATTGGATGATTCGTAAGGCAGTAGCGAAACGAATAACGAATAATAACAATAATAATAATAACAATAATAATAATAATAATAATAATAATAATAACAATAATTATAATTATAATTATAATAATAATGATGATGACGATGATAATGAATGCAGTTTAATTTATTCTCCAAAATCTATTGGGGTAAGATAGGCAAGCAAGTGGACGAAAGTACCGATCGATTGTGAGTGAAACTTCGCTCCATTGGAGGGAACGCAGTGAACTTCCACTCTCGATAAATCGCGCGAAAATTGTCTAACGATATAATTGCAGTCTCTTCGGGAAGGAGGACGTGGATCTGCGACTCTTGCATCCCGCGGCCCAGCCCGTGACCGCGCAACTGTCTTCGTTGCCCTCGTCATTGTCGTCGTCGCCCCCTACACCTCCGCCGCCCGTCATCTCCTGCGACAAAGACGGCTGGGCGAAGCTCAAAATGCCGATGAAGTCAAATCCGGGCCGCTCCGAGTCGAGTCGTGCCTCGGACGGTGGCCGCTCCGATCGCCCGGGACGTGGCCGCACCAAACTTTACAGCAAGGCACCGGAGGAGCGGAGACGCGGTGTCCGGGATTACGAGCGAAATGCCGATAGGAACATCGAGATCATCATGAAACAGGCGGCCGAGCAGCTTAACCAGGGTACTATCACCAAGTCACAGTACAATAAGCTCATACAGGAGGTGCTGCATATGAGCGAGGACCAGAAGCTCAGGGCGGCCCAGAGAAAGGAGAGAGAGGGCAAATTGTGGGAGAGAAACGAGAAAGGCAGGCCCAAGGAGCACGGCGTGCATCCTCGACCGCCCGGTTAGTTATTCCTCTTAACAAGATCCTTAGGTCTTTCCTCGTTTGTACATTTCTTTTTCTTCTAATCTTTAATATGGACTTATAGAGTCTTGAAGGTTTAATATTTTTTATTCATACTTTGTCGGATTAATAAAAACCTTATTTGTTAATCACTTTTAAGTCCCTATTAAAAAATATAATTTTTTAAATTGATTAGCAGTAACTAAGTAGTCGGTAGTAATTCCTTTACAACATATTTTAAAATTAAATAAAGCGAATTTATGAATAGTTTTTGCAATAAATTGATTATAAGGAGGATCGAGAAGATGGTGAATTACAATGCTAACTTTTTTTATTCTTTAATACTATAATTATTCTTGTAGGTGGTCTTAGATGGCAGCAGCCTTGGCATCAACCCTGGGCTCATCAGCCTGGACCCTTCCAAAGTCATTTTCGGCCCGAGTTTCGACCCATTGGTCCGTGGCAGAATCATCCTAGATTATTCAGTGGTCCAATTAGATCGGACTTCCATCAATTTCACGCTGGTTTCAATCCTCGATTAACACATTCTGCTTTGGGTCCAAATGGACCCATTATCCTACCAAATGGCCCCTTGAAATCGTTACCGGGAAGTCCGTTAATTTCTCTGGGGGGTCCGTTGGGTGGTGTACCACCAAGCATTATTTTGGGAACAAGCGGCGGCCCTATGATCTCCAAGAAGTTGTCGCCAACCTCCGGAGATGTCAATACGGATAATTTGGTATGGTCCGTTCCATCGTTTTCCACTGGTGAGGTGAAGTCAGCTAGCGATCCTGAGATCAGTTCCATCAATAGCGATGAATTGCCGCCGGCCGATCCAATGTTGCTAGAGGAAATAGTAAAGGATACCATGAGATCTATCAATATCGACAATGTGCCTCGAGAAATTAGATATTACGGGCATACGGGCGTCATATTTATGCATTGGGATGATCCTAGAGATATTGGATTTCAACATGGTGCCAGAAGAATTTCCATCGATGGCAAAGATACGGTTGTGTGCTCTTTTAACGATGATTATAGGGAATTCACCTACGATGGAGAGGTTCACAGGTGACTCATACATTGTTTTTTTTAGATAAATATATATATATATATATTTTTTTTTTTTTTTTTTTTTTTTTTTTTTTAAATTTACATTTACGTTAGAAATCTGTGTTAAAACATAGTGTTTTATGAATTTTTAATCGCCCTTTTTATAATAATTTTCATTATTATACGTAATGTATGCATGCGTAAGGGACAAGGATAATATTTTGTCAACAATAATATTATTATTTTAGAATAAAACTTGGTGCGCCTACAAGAGAATTGTATGTCGATGATCAATGGTATCAATGTTATTTTGGTGGTCAACAAGTTATGGTTGATTTGGGAAATAAGAAAGTTAACATAAAACTTGACGGCCCTCCTCCTCAAGTAAAAATTGGAACTATAAAACGTACGGATCTTGTTGTTGGAAAAATAAATCTAATAATTAATGCAAGGAGTATGGTTCCAGTTTTTCTTGATGCTAAGCCACAAATGTAAGTAGTAATTCGTAGCTATAAATTAATAATTATTTCATTTAATTAAATTGGTATCGGATGAATAACATCATCAGCTAATAAAAGTATTATTATATATTGTATGCTTTTATAATTTTACTAAGATAGTTTCAACTTATTTCATTAAATTATAATTATTTATTGTCAAATACGCATTTTATGTTTGTGATCCATGTCATCGAGATTCTTATATTATGTTGGTCTCGTATTTAATAAGCCATTTAATTGAACACTCGCAACACGTTAAGAAACATTGACTTACATTGCAGGTTCAACATTGACGGAAAGTCGTGCACTCTAGAATTTATCGATGCTTTGCAAACGGTCTTATTGAATGGGCGGCCATTTCAAGTTGAATTTGGTGGTCTGCCCAAGCCCGTTTTCGTTCAAGGGAAGAAACACTTTATACGTTTCTCCGTATTGCCACGTGGTTTTCATGCCGGTTATGTTAAGATCAAAGGTATGAAAGGCGAACAGCCGAAAGAGGCATCACTCGATGGTGGAAAAAAGACTCTCTCGGAAGCTTCTGGTTCATCGGTAACTGTGGCTTCGCATTCACTTATAGAGCCGGATTCAACGTCTCAAGATGGCATGGAGCACTCCTACACCTCTAAATCTGGTTTGTTTCAGATCTCTCTCTCTCTCTCTTTTTTTTTTTTTTTTTTTTTTTTTAATAATAAAACCAAAATTCAATGAATTCAACGATAATATTGTATTTAGATCTGTAAAATTAACAATTTCCTCTATATATATTATTAATTACTTTTTTAATTAACTGCGCAATTTTTGTTCAACGGAACATTACTTCAATAAATACAATCAATTACTTTTCGATTAGCTACATTTGCATTTTTCATATGACATATATAGCAGCATTTTTATTAATTCATGCTACAATTAGTACTTCTTGTATCGATATTTCAAATGAAAATGTCTTTTTCTCGGTAACATAGTACATTTTCTAAATTCGCATCAATCAATAATTAATTATCTTAGATGTTGAATTAATAGTGTATTTATATTCTACTATGTTTAAATCCGTTATTCTCAGATTTGCAATTGGATGTTCTGTCTTCGGTTGTAACTTCTGCTATGGCTCCTTCATCTGGACTATCATATCAAGCTGAATCTGTCGAGAATACAGCAGTTCCAGCGCCCACGATTACTCTTCCTTTAAACCTTAGTGAATTATTCCAAAGATTATTAGAGACTGGCATAGTATCTAATCTAAACGAAGCGAAAAAGCTCGAGGAGGACAAAAAGGCACCAGAAATAATCCCTGTCTCTTTTGATAAGCCAGAAACATTGAAAATGTAAATATTAAAAATTTCATTTATGACATTGATAAGATTTTTTTGGAATCTCAAAATCCATATACTTATGTAAAAGAATTATATCATAAATATGTTATGCTTATATAATTATATAAGAAAAAATCGGTTTTAGTTTTCAATTATATAGTAAGATTGTAATATTTATTTATACTGAATAATTCAATATTACTGAATAAGTCACTACTAATAAAACAATTGTTCGTTTGTAGAAAACAGCCAGCAATTATTACGGCCCTATATAGTGGTATACAGTGTAGTTCATGTGGTGCTAGATTTGCACCAGAAATGGCAACTCGCTACAGTCATCATTTGGATTGGCATTTCCGGCAGAATCGGAAAGAACGCGACTCTTCAAGGAAAGCGCATTCGAGAGTTTGGTATTACGATGTCAGTGACTGGATTCAATTCGAAGAGATCGAAGATCTTGAAGATAGAGGTAAGAAATTCTTCTTCTAACCATTTACAATTTGTCAATTTAAAAAAAATTTATAACATAAAGAGTGAAATCAATGAATGGTATTACTCTGCTTATAAGTATGTCTATTGTATTGTTAAATTTTAATAAATTAAATATAGAAATGTAACACACAGCACGGTTGTATTTCAATTTGCTTGATATCATTATTTCATTTTTACTCTATTGATAAGATATTCACTTTTATAATAGTTAAATTTTTTTTTTTTTTTTTTTTTTTTTTTTTTTAAATTTTTTTTTTTTTTTTTTTTTTTTTCAAATGTTTAGCTCAAAGTTGGTTTGAAACTGAGAAACAGAACATGGAGACGGAAACTGCTGCTGCTGAAGAATTTTTTGCAGAAACCGTGTATCCAAGTATTCCTACAGGTGCAGATGAAGATTCGTGTTGTCAAGTTTGCCACGAGGCATTCGAACAATTTTATAATGATGAAAAGGAAGAATGGCATCTCAGGCCAGCCATTGCTTTTGAAAATAAAAACTTTCATCCCCTCTGTCTTGAAGATCACAAAGTAAGTAAAAGTGAAATGTGATATTATCTATACAATATATTAATATTTGAAATGGTTTGTTTCACTTTTACATAAAGGAAAAGCTTCTTGCGGTACGTTGCCTTTTCAAAGTACTATAAATTATTTAAGTGTTTGTTTAGTAATTTTTTAGTTGCGAATAACTTTGTTTATTGCAAAGAAAAATGAATTAATCTAAAATTGATGAGACATATTGTAAATTTTAAATTTATTCAAATAGGAATAAAATTAAAAATTTTTATAATTGTAATATGTAATTGTTTTTTTATATTATATTTATGAATACAAAAATACAAAAATTATTCTATGATGTAAGATAGTAAAAGGAATAATATAATATTTGTTATAAATTTAATGTAATAGTGATTTGTTAAATATTTTTGTAAAAAAATGTGATGTATATGTGTGCTTTGTTAGATTTACATAATAACTATTACGTAATAACTTTTAATGCTTTTTGTCATTTTATAGAGAATTATAGCAGAGTCAATTAGTACTGACATATCAGACACTAGTGAACACCATAAAATAAATGTTAGTATGCAAGACGAAAAAATAGAAGTAATAAATGAAATTAAGGAAATAACAGATGTAGAATTACTTCAAAAGGATAATGTGCAAAAACCATTGAATATCACAAAAAGTACATCAATTGAAATAATAGAAACAATTGATAAGAAAATTGGTATGGTTGAAATGCGAATAATTTTTTAAATATAAAGTTATGATTGAATTTGAGCATTAATATATATATATATATTATTTTTTTTTTTTTTTTTTTTTTTTTTTTTTTTTTTTTTTAGATGAAAATGAGGTAAAGGTAATAAATAAAGAAATAAAATTAGAAATTAATAAAAGTAATACCGATGTAAAAGTATCTAAAGAAATTGTAGAAATAATTGAAGATAAAAAAATAAATAATATAATTATTAAGACGGAAATAAAAGAGGAACTTATTCCTATCGAAATAGAGGAAGAATTAGTTGAATTACAGCTAGGTAAAACTGATTTCTGTATTCTAAATTTTAAAATTATTTCATACATTATAAGTATAATTGCATATTATTGAAGCTTATAATTAGCATTTATATTTTAATTGATCAAATATTCATTAATTAATTTTTATTGTTTAATTATTTAGACTCTGAAGTAAATACTGCGGAAATTGCTGGAGTTGATTCTACTCAAGTTGCAGTTAAAAGTACAATTGATGGAAATGTTGAATTGGAATCAAAAACATCAACTATTCCAACTACTCAGTCAAAAATAAAAATAAATATCACAAAATCTCTCAACTCTCCAAAAGAATCCAAAGAAATTAAAGTAGAAAACGAGATTAAGAAAGATAATCAAAATGAAGAAGAAATTGTTGAACCTTTGAAGCCAATATCATTAAAACCAGCACTTTATGGTAGAAATCTTTCGGTTTTACCACCAGTAGAAAAAGGGGAGGAACTTTCTGCATTATGTTCGATTATGTAAATAACTAGAATATGAAATATTGTATATAATCATTATTTTGATGAAAGTTATGCACGTTAAAATAATATTGGAACAGTTATATGTTCTTTGTTTGGAAATATTGTTAATACTAATTGGCAAGAGTCTCCCTTTTTCTTCTGTATTTAATGATCATTGAAATTTGTGTTTATAAATTGGAGCTTGTACTTAATAAGTTAAAGTTAGGTGTTTCAAAAATCAATTTTAGCATAATCATTTGGATGAAATCGTAATAAGGACCAATATTAAAGTGTAATCCTTGAAATTTGTATTTTGTTAGTCTCATTTGTCATAATAATTAATTGTTTAGGTTCAACATTAAATCAGCAGCATTTGAAAGTGTGTCAGTGGTATGTTTAAACTTATAAATGCGTGCCTAATATGCGGCAGTACAATGTCTATTGTAAGAATATTTTCATGTCGGTTTTAACAGGACAGATTTTCGAGCGTGACATAAAAATATTGTCCTAATGCCCCAGCATATTTATTCATCGTTATTTATTGCAACTGAAAATGATGATGCCTTCATTTAATTTTGGTATACCAACAATTTGAGACAGTTCGAAATTATTGCCTGTGCACTTTTGCAGTTTTCATGTCGAATATTGAAAGAGATAGATCTAATAGTTAATTAGGGGTTAAATAAATAACTTTGCTCATCTTAAGTTACAATTATAATGATGACAAAAGCTTCAATTTATATTGCTGAATTTTTAAAATTCTGCATTATCAAAGAATAGATTAAATAGGTAAGCTTTCTTTTTTCGGCATTCATTAAACTCAGCTCTTTTGCGAGAAAAGATAGCATATCTTCGTATAATATAGAAACAAAAACAATCAAATCTGATGTATACAGAAAAACAAATTTTGATTCATTGAATCGGTAACATTATAATTATCCATAATTGGATTGATTTTAGGTCCGAGATGAGATCCTAAAATTTTTTTATATTTTTTATATTTCAAAGCGATTGTGGATGTACTCAAAATTGCCTTTCTCTGGATTACAGAGAAACAATAATGAGGTATTAAATGATTCGAATACTTGTAAATAATTTTCAAGTACTGTGATGTTTTGTAAATATTACTTAATATTTATTTTTTTACATAATGAAAGAGAATTTTTTTGTTGACTCCTATGTCCCATTTAATTTCTTATATTGTTAAAATAAATACTTTCTTTTTTTTTACATCGCAGTTTCACATGATCGAAGACATTTATTAATGATAATTTTTTCAAATTAGTAATTTTAATTACATTAATATTTAAACTTTTCTTTTCTTTCTTTCAAATTTCTAATTTTTTTTTTTTTTTAAGTTTGAAATAAGTGTTAAAATAATATTCACGTACAACTAATTAACTTTTTGAAACGTCTTATAAATGCCAACAAATAAATATATAAAATAATCAAAACATTGTGTTTTTATTTCAACTTCCAATAATCAATCTACAATCATACTACCTTTTACTTATTATGTAAAACATAAAATCCTTACCATAAATGATGATGATAAATGAATATTAGGTAAACTTTATGATTTTACTTAATAATTTATTAATTTCATCTAAAGCTTCTTAAATATTAAGTAAAATAAGATAAAGTATTAAAGACTATAATTATTAAATATATACAAGCATTTCAATAATGTACGTATAAAGCGGGGCTCGAGTTTAAAAATTACAATTGTGAGGCCAGCGAGGAAAAGGAATAACATCTTTAATATTTGGTATTTCTAAAAGAAACTGTAAGTATCTTTCAAATCCCATTCCATATCCTGCGGTGGGAACATTTCCGTATTTCCTGAGATTAAGATACCAGTCGAGATTCGATTCAGGTGGTAATTTTGATTGCAATTTTGAATAATCATCTTCTCTAACACTTCCGCCAACTAATTCACCAACAATTGGCACTAAAAGATCTAGTGCCTTTACCTATTCAAATTTTTTATTGTTTATTAATTAATTTGTATTTTTTGTTTTTCAAAGAGTTCTAAAATATTGTTTTATAATCTTAAAATTGATTTTTATCTTTATTTATACACAGATTTTAGAGTTATTTATTTTGAAGATTGAAGATAAATTGTAAATTTTGAATTCACATTATAATTTCATATAATTTAAGAACTTAATTTACCTTTGAGA